CGAAAGCATTTGTGAAGATGATTACAAAACAAATGTGGGAAAAGACGTAATATTTGCTCGAAATGATTTCATCTGCACTAGGGCTGTGTGGTGCAGGTCCTCAGCTATAAAGTGGATATATTGGTGTTTGTTTAACTTTTCTCGTAAACACCTATATTCTATGCGCGGTTTTTTAATGCGGCATTGTCGCACTGTGATCCAGCTTCCGGTTAGTGGTCCGGATATTTGTTGCCGAAACGTGTATTCTCTCGTATTTTTTCTCTTTTCCACTCTTTTCAGACTGGTCATGGAGTTTTGTCGAATGACTAAAACTGACTTGGAAATTGTAATGAAACGTAGGCAAGCTGAATTGACCCACAATCTCCTCATTTTCGGTCTACAGCGGACCCTGGCTTTTGAAGCCAGTTTGAATAAGATTTACTCAGGTTCGACCCTGTCCGAATTGAATCTCCAGGAAGACGCCGAGTGCAGTCCTTCACCCACCAAACGAGGTCAGTCCCTAAATCCGTTTGATGAAGATGGAGATGATGCTACCCAAGCGGCTCCAGCGAATGTGGACAGACAACGCCAATCCGTCAATGTCACGCAAAAGTCATCTACGGCAAAATCTGAAACCACTCAGGACGGCGGGGAACCAGGGCATTGGAAGAAGCAGCCGTTCGATGGAATCATCTCCAGGTAGGTCCGTGTGACATTTGTTAAGGTTTCCAAATAAACCTTTCTGTCCTAAGGGATGTCTGCCTGTTCGCTCGTCAAAATATCGGTCATCGCAGGAGAACTTGATCTCGTCATTTTAGACAGTTGTTTATGCTTATGAGCATCTGGTTCTCACGAATCCTTCTCTCGTCATTTGATTACGGATTGGTGTATCCTTATGTTTGATGCATGCCTGTGGGAGTCTCAAGCGTTTGAAAATAACAGTCACGTGTGCCTTTGCTATAACATTGCTGCTGGGTTGTTATGGCTCTTTCGGTGTTGTGCCGTAGGTCCATGAACCACTGCACCTTTTGTAACGCTACCACTGTCTGTTTGCGACAGCGTGTTGGTCGCAGTAAAGCATTACTTATTCGCAGTTATTCAGTTTCCAAGGCCGCCTGTGTCAGCTTGCAGTTCTGCTTGTTCTCTGAGTACTAATGCATCCATATTATTATATCTCACTGATGTCTGGTCGTTACTTAAAATCCCAATAGGACGTTGACCTACTGTCCCACTAAGTTAAGATTTCTCAAGCCGGTGTTATATATATATATATATATATATAATTTTAGGCGAACATCACTCACTGTTTCTTTCTTTCCCCACACCATCAATGCTGTTTTCCCCTTAACGTCATTCCCCCCCCCTCTTCATTCCTGTCCAGTTGCTTTGACGCGCACTTTGATCTGTATCTGAATCATGTGGAGAAAGCCTTGCGCGAGCAGTTGCAATCTCGTTTTATCGGTGATTTCACCATAAACAAGTCAAGCCTCTCACATCGTGAGCTGGGCGATGTGTTCAAAGATGGTGAGTTATCTTCATTATGCAGTCTTGCGACTGTTGAATTTCGATGTTAATTGTTTGATAATTTGAACCGGTTCGCCTAGTTGTATCAGGTCGAATATTTGAGACCGACGATCCAGCGGAGAATTGGACAATGAAAGTTTGCCGATGACAGGGAACACAGAATGGTCGGAGTTCATCGGCACTTTCATTCTTGTTGCTTCTTCATATCTGTTGAATTTGGTTAGTTCCTAACATAAACATAGATTGCGTGTTTCATACCTTTAGACCATTCGAGGACATACTTGTGAAATTGCTACTTTCGAACCGTGCCACATATCTTCGTTGGTTGTCGTCGTTATGCTAGATATCACTGGGTCATCACTTACCAAGAATGAGCGAGCAATAATGCAAATGTATCTAGATCAGTTAGTTGAATTTCCATTACTGTGAGATACTGTTGCATTTCTGTTTTTCCATAGCGGTTCCAGTGATAAGTAAAATGCTTGAATTTGGTTTTTCCACCTAATTCCTATATGGAACAGGATATTATTTCACTGATTTAGAATTGTGACTGTCCTTTGTATAAAATATTCACCGATCTGAAATGTAGACTGCTCACCCTACGTAGTTAAAACTGAGATGGGTCGGTTGCCTCACTCAGAGGAGAAAACCGTCTTCAAATACCTCGCCCCCAAGCCTTCGGTAAGATAGCCTCACCTGCATGGTAAGGGGTTTAGTAGTTAGAGTCTGCAATCACTCAGAGCCGTGATTTCATCCCTTTCAAGTCGCCTTTCCTTCGAAGGGAGCTCCAGGATGCGAATGTACCCTGTCGTCCAATCACGCCCGTCATAATATGTTCAGTAGTTCCTGAACTGTTTAATGTACCTTGTAAATGATTAATAATTTGGGTTTCCCAGTATCTTTAAACACCATAGCTACTCTTGAACTTTCAGTCCAGTTATAATCCCAATCACTGACATCTCTCTGTAGTGAAGACTTGGCCATCCGAATTCGGAGGCGAGGGGGGGGGGGGGGTGCTTGGAACAAACCATTCGGAAGTATTTCGCGAAGAATTCGGGATGCTGAAATCTGATTGCCAAAACAATCACCCGAATTCGGTAGGTCGTTTAAGGATGTAGCTTGTTCCCTTCTATGATTTATGCTAGCCGGGACTTTCAAACGGTCTCGGTAAAATTGATAAATATTCAGTACAAACGAATGTTTGTAGAGTAAGCACCGTAGCTTCCACAAGCTAAGAAGAGTACGAAGTCTTTAAATTAGCATATCCTGGTGGCTATTCCTTTCCGTAAAAGGGGTCATGCATTTTTTAAATATTTAATTATTATTATAGTTATCCTTATTACAACTGTTTTGTCATTTCCGTCGTTTTATGTTTATTGAATTCAGACTCCTCAAACACAACTACCATCAATTCTGTTGACCCGGGGGAGAACACACTGTCCTCCGCGACCGAATTGTTCCTCCTGTACAAACAAGTGGTTAGACAAACGTTGCAGTTGAATCGCGGCAAAGGTCTTCTCGGACTTGTGCGGTTGCTACGCCAATATCTATCTCAGTACAATGTGTGGGTATTACTTGCCCAGATTCCTGGCCTGTCTATTGGGGCACCGAATGCTCCTAGTGGCACGAGCGGAACAGGGTTTTTCAATCCCGATATGGCCGCCAAAATGGCTGCGTTTGGTCTCAGTGGACTGTCAGCATTAGGTGAGTAAATTCCCCGTGAAATTTGATGCCCGGATATATTTTACCCTTTTGATCACCTTGAGGATTGTCGTTGATTAGAGATGCTGAGAGATATCGCCCAGAATCGGAATCAGTGGCCCGAATGTTGTACGGTCTGCCTGTCGAAATCCCGTTCCCCGTAAAAATAACAAACAACACAAAAAATATAAAAATACGTACGGTGAAACACAAAAAATTGCTATTCCATTTATTCGTAATCTTCTATTCTAATAGTGACGTCTTTTTCCCTATACTCTGTATCCCACTCCCCTCCCGTTATTGTCATTGTTAATAATTTTGTGGCGTTGGCACCATGCTGGTTCTCAAGCCGGTTTTATGTACATATATATAACCGCCTTCATATCCGAGTTAATTTCTAAATGGCTCGATTTCGTGACTGGTTTGCTGTGCGTTGCATTTTGTAACTACTGTTTGTCTGAAAGTCGCTGGGTCTATCGACCACTGTTGATGACTCATGAAGAAAGCTCGGAGATTTATCTCCTAATTTGTGCTAATCCTTATCACCCCTTGGACTGTCCCAAGTGGTTCTTCTCGTAGCTTAACCAATTAATTAAGTTGATTCAATAAGGGGTTGATTTCTTTAAAAAAATACTCTTCTATCATCTTCACATGTCTTTGTGATCATCATTTCTTCATTATCGTCGCGAATTATCATGAAGTGAACTTCATTGATCCCTACCACAGTCTTTTTCCGTTTTTGTAACCAGTTTTGTTACTCGTAGCCA